GACAGTGACCTGTACCCCGCCCTGCAGAGCTTCCCAGGCCCCCTCCAACCCATGGAAGAGGGCCCAGAGAGCACAGTCTCTGGTGTTGCCCAGGTTGCGACTGTGAAGCAACCGACCCCCAGATCCCCCAGTGCCAGAGTGGGTATCACCCTCCTCTGATCCTGGCATTGAGGCTGACCTGAGAAGCCGCTCAAGTGGGGGCCATGGGGGTCGCGCAGCAGCCAGGAGCTGTCATCGCAGGGTCGGACTCAAGGATGCCGGTGGCGCACGCCTGGGCCGAATATCTCCTCCATCTCGGAACTGAGCTGGAGCTGAGTAGCGACTGGTAGCACAGCAGCGGTCGCTCCTCACACCTCACTAACTCCATTGAGAAGCCTCATCTCCAGCCTCGGAGCCAGAGCCCAGCCTCCCCATGAACCCCGCGTCGCCCTGCTTTCCTTCTGTGGCCCTGATGACACCACAGCGAGTATGAGTCAGCTCCGAGTCTGAGCCCGACCTCAGCGAGGAGCGACTCGCCTTGGCTGCTCAGCAACCTGGTGAGCCGCATATCTCTGATGGCTCCTGCGCCATCCGCTGCCCTGGCCAGTGCCTGTCTCCGCGCACGCTTGCCGGGGGCGCCTGCATCACAGGCTGGCGTGGCCACAGAGGACTCCCAAGACCTGCGGCAGCAGCGGTCCTGGTGTGGAGTTGGTGGACATGGAGACGCTGTGTGGGCCGCCACCGCCGGCCCCCGCAGCGCCTCGCTGGGCTCTGCACAGCCTGGCCCTGCCTTTTTCTCAGCAACCCCACCGAGACACCATCACTCCGCTGTGGCCGCACCTGGCCGCGCTAACCCGCTCTGCACGCCTGCTCTGCCGCCTGCTCGGAGAGGAGGAGGACGACGAGGAGGATGAGGAGGATGCCGAGGACAGCGTTGCCCCACCCAGGAGCAGGGGTACGGGCCCCACTGCCCCGATGGACGCCTCGCTGGTATATGACGCAGTGAAGTACACGCTGGTGGTGGATGAGCACACACAACTGGAGCTGGTGAGCCTGCGGCGCTGTGCAGGCCTAGGCAACGACAGTGAAGACGACAGCAGTGGAGAGGCCAGTGAGGAAGAGGCAGGGGCTGCACTGCTAGGTGGCGATCAGGTCCTGGAGGATGCCTCTCCCGACAGTCCCGACCTCACTTTCTCCAAGAAGTTCCTCAATGTGTTTGTCAATAGCACATCTCGATCCTCCAGTGAGTGGCAGGTGGGGAAAGAAGTGGTAGCCCCAGAAGAAGAAGCACTGCTCCAGTCTTAGGTCCCATCTGGTCTCCCAAAGTACCCAGGAGGTCTGAGGGTCTGGGGATGGTCAGGGCTGACTGCTACCTTTTTTCCTGAAACATAAGCATTGATCTTCCTCAGATACCCCTTTGAGCCAGAAATTAGGGGTTGCTCTGCCCCAGCCTCCAGTGGGCTGGTCCTCCCTCCCTGCTTGACTTAGAACACCTCACAACAGCTTGTTAGGGGAAGGGGACTTAGCTCTAGCCCAAGGCCAGTACTTTTCATTTCATTTCTCCCACCTCCCTCTAGCCCCTCCCTCTCTTCATCTGTGCCTCTTCTGTCTCTCAGGCACCGAGTCCTTTGGCCTTTTTTCCTGTCTGGTCAATGGGGAGGAGAGAGAGCAGACCCACCGTGCTGTCTTCAGGTATAGCTACACTCTTGCTCCTGGTGATCCCCAGCCTCATTCCACAGACACTGCCAGACATAACCCAGCCAGGTCTATCTCAGTGATCTCTCACCTGTCCTCAGGTTCATCCCTCGCCATCCTGATGAGCTAGAGCTAGATGTGGATGACCCCGTGTTGGTGGAGGCTGAAGAAGATGACTTCTGGTTCCGAGGCTTCAACATGCGCACTGGCGAGCGTGGCGTGTTTCCCGCCTTCTATGCCCATGCTGTGCCTGGCCCTGCCAAGGACCTGCTGGGTAAGACTCCGTCCCTTGGGGGGCTTGTCACCCCAGACTTTTCCCTACATCACCCCTTAACCTGAGTCCCTGTGACCCCCACCCACCTGCAGGGAGCAAGCGGAGCCCTTGCTGGGTAGATCGCTTTGACGTGCAGTTCTTAGGCTCTGTGGAGGTGCCGTGTCACCAGGGGAACGGCATCCTGTGTGCAGCCATGCAGAAGGTCAGTGCGGGGCGGGGGGTGGGACAGGCACAGGCCATAAGCCCACGTGAGGCCCACAGCAGTACCAAAGACTGGCACAGCTTCAGGGCCTCCAGCCTGCTCCAGGGAGGGTGCAGGTGATGTCACATGCTCATGCTCTCAGGGTGGGCAACCCTGGCCCTGATTCAGAGGTCTGCGCAGACAGACCTAGGGCAGAACATAGCAGGTGTTTCCTTCACCTCTGGGTCTCTTGGCCAGTTCAGTGAGGCCTTCACCTTTCTGCTGACTCCTCCTCTCCTTCAGCCCACCCTCCTCCTGTCTGAAATTTGAGAGCAGTTCTCACAGCCCCTTTCCTGGGAGTCATTTGCTCATTCATTCATTCACTCTATGGACACTTAACGAGCACCTGACTATCTGCTCAGCCTGGGACTGAGGCTGGTGAGCTGCAGGGAGCAGGGTAAACCAGCCGCCATCTGAGCGCTCCTGTCAATTTATGGGACCAGGCAGTGAGGAGGCTGGAGGTGGGGGTGGGGCAGGTTCTTGGCACCTGAGCCAAGAGAAGCAGCTTGAATGGAGGAACAGAAAGAAGATGAAGCAGGCTCGGTGCAAAGAGTGACTTGCTTGTTTTGCGAGCAAGGGTGGCCAAGGTCACCCTCTCATCTTCCAGAATTGCATCTTAGAGGGTCTTAGGTGCCAAAAATATTCAGATAGTCTGAAATGAACAGAGGCATAGTGGTACTAAGGAGAGAGAAAGAGTCTGTGGCAGTCCCCTCAAAACCCTCTTTTTCCCTCAACTTCAGATTGCCACTGCCCGGAAACTGACTGTCCATCTGCGTCCTCCTGCCTCCTGTGACCTGGAGATCTCTCTGCGGGGGGTCAAGCTGAGTCTGAGTGGAGGAGGGCCCGAGGTGGGGGTGGGGAAGACTGGGCTGGGGGAGTTTGGGGGTGTGGGGTAAATCAAGGCCAAGAGGGCCTTGTCAAAGGACAGGTTAACAGAGACATCCAGCAAGCTGGTGGCAGTAGTGGCCACAGGCCTCCTCTGTCCAACTTAGGATGATGCCTCTGTCCACCTCTATTCTAGTTCCAGCGCTGCAGCCACTTCTTCCAGATGAAGAACATTTCATTCTGTGGCTGTCATCCCCGTAACAGCTGGTAAGAACCTCCTTCTAGGCCCTCATAAACCTTGAGGGTTGCCTGTACTCCAGTCCCCACTCCCTGAGGGCTCCACCTGCACTAACCTGATGCTCATTTTGTGCTGGACTTGGGAGACATCAGACTGGCTCCTGTCTGGTGTAGGTGTGGAGACAGACACACAGATGAGGAAGTAGAGGAAACATAGTGGTTTGGCATTTTCTGAATAGGCACTCCAGGCAGAACTGCAGCAAGGGAGGCAAGTTCTCCAGGACTCAAGAAGGCAAAGCTCAAAAAATGAGCTGGTGACTAGAGTAGGAGAAGTAGGTTGTCTTATCAGGGAACTGGTAGAGGCGAGGCATAAGGGGAGCAGCTGGGATGCTGGGGAGCAGCTCAAGTGTCAGTGGAGACCTGGGCCCTTTTGACTGTGTTAAGGAGCTTGTGTTTCATCCCATTGACCATGGGTCCACAAAAGGGTTCTTGTGGGAACATGTGATCCAGGCATGCAGACCAGCCATCTCTGACTGTTCTGTAGAATAGATGATGCCAGCAAGAGATCAGGTGGCCTTTGAGGTATCCAGGTGCAGTGTTGTGATGGGAAGTGTGCAGATGGAGGAGGCATTTAAGAGGTGGGACAGGCAGGCCTGGGTTGATGGGCCATAGAGACTGACCTAGAGTGAATCAAGAACAATGACCCACATACAGAGGAAACGCAGGACCAGTTATGGGCAAAGTGAGGCTGAAATTTAGGAGGAAGACCTCCTGCTCATTTTGGAGCAGGTAGATAACTGAGACCATTAAATTGACAAAATAGTCAGGGAGAGTGAGAAGAGGAGAGAAAAGGAAAGAAGAGTTGCTGTGGTGGGAGCAACAGAAGGTAGGGGGCTACTGTCTTCTTCCCCAGGCACAGACCCCTGCCCACTAGGTCCCAGCATCCTAGATGAAGGAGAGAGGAGGAACCAGAGATAGAGCCAACTAGAGGCTAATGATGACTGGCAGTTGCTGGAGGAGCTCCCAGCAGGTGGGATGCAGGGTGGACGCAATGCTTCCAGGGCTGAGGATTGTAACAGGTGTCAAGAGTGTCACTGGGTCATTTGAACTCATGTGTAAAGAGAATAGGAGAGTTTCTACTGACTAAAAATGGTGAAGTGCAGTTTTGCCTCTTTTCCATTGAGGAGGGAGATGGTTTGATGGGATCCATTGGTTCCACTGTTGGGACAATGCTCAGAGGCGTAAGTGCCAGGGCAGATTGCAGGGGTCATGCCAGACTCTGGAAGCAGCCCTGGGAGTCATAAGGACAGTGGGCTAGAATGGTACTGCCAACAGAGAAAACAAAACCATGAGTGCTACAAGCTCAGGCTTCCAGGCTGGACACTAGCCCACCTAAAATTCTACCATAGAAGATGTCAGACAAGTGGTCTGGGGTCAAGATGTGCTTCAGAACCAAGCCCAGTTTCTCAGTGAGGAGCACTAAGGAAACACGTGGTGGGTGGAGCATCATTGGGAATTGGGTGGTGGCTCAGGAGTGTCTGGTTGTGCTGCATTTGGATGAGGTAGGAATGTGTGGTGTTGAGATCAAGCTGCCTTTTTTTACTACATTGCTGCCTCAGACTGGCTGTGTGTCCTTGGACAAGATACTGACCCTTTCTGTGCTTAGCTGTCTATCAGGGCACCTACCTCATAAGTCTGTTGTGAGGTTTATGTGAGTTAATAAGATAAAGTCCTTAGGATAGTGCCTTAGTAACACTTAGTAACCAATATCTAAGTGTTAGTGATTATCATCATAATTGAGATGGATCTTATAATATGTCCATAGACAATAGGCCACATTACCCTAGCAATGAGACTATTGAGTGGCTTCCCATATGGTTGAACTACAAAACCCCAAAGCCATGGGGCAGTGTATTGGATTGGCCACAGTTTTAGCCTGGGGTAGAGTGTAAAGTCTCATTCTGTGGGCTGACTCCCCCTCTCCTGGACCACAGTTGTTATTAATGTCTTAGAAAAGGGGGACAATACATACAGGAAGGGCATGAGTGATGGGAGCAGCTAGGTGTATGCTTCTCTAGTTGAGAAGAGATGGAATCCAAAAGGGTATTAGAGATGCAGAGGTATTTAGTCCTGCATCTGAGCTTGGAAAAGACCTGTGTTTGCAGGACCAGATGTGGGGTTGGATGGGCTCACAGAGGCTTGAGCAAGGCAAGGCCAGGGGAATAGTCCAGACCCATGCTCTGTGATGTTTGGGACAGGCTCAGGGTATATGTGTAGGGTGTTCAGGAAGGGAGCCTCCAGCTCCAGTATAGGGTGAAGGCCCTGGTTGAGGAATTGACTAAGCTCCTTTTGGTGCCCAGCCCTGTACTTGAGCTGGAACCCCCAAAAAGTTACCTTCAGGTCTTGAAATCATGTGGCTACCATACTCCTCTCCCCTACTCTCTCTCCAAAGCCTTCGTTCATGCCTTTTCTCTTTAGATCTTGAGTGGGGAGGGGGCGCCCAAGGTTGGGTCAGTACTTTGATGCTACCCCCACCAACTTCCCTGCAGCTATTTTGGCTTTATCACTAAACACCCGCTGCTGAGCCGCTTTGCCTGCCATGTCTTTGTGTCCCAGGAGTCCATGAGACCAGTGGCACAGAGTGTGGGGTAAGTGGGGAAGGAGCCTGTGGAGTGAGGAGGAGGGATGGAGAGGCACAGTCCATTGCTGTGGGGGTGTGCAAAGGGTGGTATGGTGTAGATACAGTCTCTAAGTAGGATGGTGGTGCGTGGCTGTCGAGGAGGAGGAGGGAGCACCGGACTGAGAACTGCCTTTCTCTGCAGCCGCGCCTTCCTGGAGTATTACCAGGAGCACCTGGCATTTGCCTGCCCCACAGAGGACATCTATCTGGAGTAGCTGCCACAGGCTCTGGGTGTCTCAAGGCCACTGCGTCTTGGGCAAGGACTGGATTGGGGGCACATGGTACCTTATAATGTGGGAGGCTCCAGGCTAGGAACTCTTGTCCTCCATCCCCAGGGCACAGCTTTGGAGTTGCTGGGGAGTGGAGCCCCAGCACCCCCACTTTTCCTCTGATGCATCCTTTTTCTCTGTCATTCTCGTTTGTCCTGTCCCTCAACCTCCCTTTCTCTCCTCTGTTTCTTGTTTTTTTTCTGTGCCTGCAGACCTTGCCCTTTGCTCTCTCCTTTGGGGTCAGAACTTGGGTGTGGAAGGCTCAAGGTGACTAGTGAAGTCAGGTTCCCCAGTGATCCATTCCTGCCCTTCCCTGTGATTTATAAAGGAATTTTAATTTTTATAGTGAATCTCAAGGGATCATCTCATCCTTGACCAGAGGGACCCCATCCCCACCATAGGAGCCCGGGGAAAGCAGGGAGAGGTTCCCAAGAGAGCCTTGGGGCAACTGGGAGTGATTCTTAATGCTCACCGAAGCCCCCACCCCCATGCTGCTAGGAGGAGGGTGCCCATCAGGCACCCCCTACACATTGTCTGCTTTGCCGCTAACATCCCCGCAGTCCAGTGCGTACCTGCTCTGCGTGCGCTGCCCACTGTAAGTGGGCCCTGCCCATGGCCTCAATAAACTCTGCTTGGTGTGATACTGGCTGTTTCTAAGGTAGTGCCCAGGGGTGGGCCAGGTGCCCAGGTGCTTACTGTGGTTGTTGAAATGGAGGACTCATGGTGGTGGGGTCATGGGACTTGGGAGAAGCCTCAGTGCTTTCTGCAATCATGCTGGGGGTAGGTCACTGCCACACTGCACTGTGGCCTCCATAGAGGTGGTGTCTGGACACTCTACAGAGATTCTCTCCAAACACACTTGATTGGCCCCAGAGGAAGCCGAGGCCAGAGCAAGAGAAAACACTAGCCATAGCACTCTGTGTCCTTCCTGTGCTGGGGCGAGGTATGGCCCAGATCACTGGGGGTAGCACGGACACAATGAGAAATAATCTACTTAGATCTTAAAATTGGTATTTAGAAAGTTCTCTGTAGCTGGGCGCTGGTGGCTCGCGCCTGTAATCCTAGCTATTTAGGAGGCAAAGATCAGGAGGTTGCAGTTTGAAACCAGCCCAGGTAAATAGTTTGTGAGACCCTATCTTGAAAAAAAAAATCATGAAAAAGGGCTGGTGAAGTGACTCAAGTGATAGAGCTGCCTAGCAAGCATGAGGCCCTGAGTTCAAATCCCAGTTGCTGCCAAAAAATAAGTAAATTTTAAAAAGTTAAAAGTTCTCCACAGATGGCCAGAAGAAAGTAGGTGAATCTTTTTCACTGTGCCTTGTAGATGATTGTAGATGCTTACCACATTTTTCCCTGGGTAACCACCAACTTGGGGCAGGTGTCAGCATGGCAGTGGGTGCCCCTGGAGGCTGGGTCTGTGTCATTCCCCCTAGCCTGGGCAGTGATAACAGCAGGATAAGAGGTGAGGGTTGTGAGTGAAAGAGTGAGCAAAGGGAAGTACTGACAGTTGCACATAAAGATTAACAAGTATTGTTTAAGCTGGGCCTGGTGGTGTGCACCTATGCGCCTGGAATCCCAGCATTTGGGAGGCTGCCAGCGGGGATCACGTACTGAGGCCCTGCCTCAAAAAAAAGTAGTATCTAAGAGTCACATCTATGCCCAAATGTTGCTTCAGTGCACCAACAAACAGAAAAATATTATGGTACGTGTGACTGTAACATGTGACAACACAAACTGATCCAAGTGAATGTGCCAAGTCTCCACCAACAGATCAGGGACATAGATAGTTGCTGTGGAATTGCAGCTTCACTTTTACTTATTTTTGGCAGCACTGAGATTTGGACTTAGGGCACTACCACATGAGCTGTGTCCCCAGTCCTTTTTGCTTTGTTATTTTTTAAATAGGGTCAGAGAAGGAGGGAAAGTCAGTATAGGGGAATTTCTTTGAGGCCAGGTGGCCTGCCTGAAACATCCACCTGAAGGTAGGTACCTACTGGTTCTTGGTCCCTGAAGGTTGAGGGCTGACTCCAGGGTTGTTCACCCTCTGCCACATGCCAGCTGGGTCCTGGAGCCACCCACCCACACCCAGGCTTTCGATCCATCAAGCCTAAGTGATGGTTCTGACATCCTTGAAAGAGGCACAGAGCAAAAGCCACGGCCAGGAAGCCTGAAAAACATCCTCCACCCAACAAGCAGGGGATCCCAGAGTTCCCAATGCTAGGGTGAGGGTGATGGGAAGTGAAGGGAGCACATCAGGGAACGTAGCCTTAGAGCTGAGCAAAGCCCACTACAACCCTGAGTTGGCCTCACCTTGTTTGCAGGTGTGGACATAGGTATGGTGGGAACATGTACAGGTGTGAGATTTGTGCAGAATGGTAATCACTGTGCAGCATGGGGCTTCTCCCAGAATTTGAGTCATATTTTATGGGACTGGCATAAAACTCAACATTGAACTCCCCTGGCAGCTGGCCCTGGGGCCTCTCTGCTTTGAATCTTTTCCTCCCAAGAAGAGGAGGGACCCAGCTGTCCTTGAAATGGGGTGCAGGACTGCAGGGGTACAGTTTGTGGGTAACTTAGTGGCACCTGTGACTAACAGCTGGTGCCTTGGGCCCACATGGCTGTGTCCACCTTGAGGAGGGGGATTTTTCATCACATTGAAGGAGCCAAGAAGGCTAGAGGGAACATATGTAAATGCATCCTCCCTTTTTTACTGCTACCCCTGCACCAGACCCAGGGTTGTAGAGGTCACAGGACCTCTAAGTGTCCACGGTGCAACAAGGGTGAGGTTAGGTTGAGCACAACACCTAGGGTTGAAATATATTATTTCATCAGGCACTGGTGACTAATACCTATAATCCTAGCTACTTGAGAGGCTGAAATCAGGAAGACCAAGGTTTGAGGCTAGCTGGGGCAAGGACATAGAGTTTGCAAGACTATGTCCAAAATAACCAGACCAAAATGGACTGGAGATGTCGGTCAAGGGGTAGAGTGCCTGCTTTGCAAGCATGAAGCCCTGAGTTCAAACCCCAGTAGCTCCACAAAAAACATGATTTGCATTACACGAAGAATGCATTACTGCAGGTGGACACCCACCTGGCAGTATTGCCTACCCAAACTGAAGTTAGCAGACTGTCTGGATTGCTCTGGTGAGGACACATTTTAGGGCAAAAGCCCTGGCTTAGAGTCCCAATATACCATCAAAGAGCCAAAGAACTCTTTGATATAGAGATGTAGGGAAAAGAGAATTAATCACCATGGCCATGCTGGAAAAGAACAGATAAAGGAGTTCAGTGACTCCAGTCTTCCAGGGGCTAACAGAAACTTGAGATTTTATAGAAAAGGGAAACAGAGGAGGAGGTTGGGGTATGCATAGCTGACAGCAGTAATCTTGTTCAGGCTGGTGGTCTGACTGATCATTATCTCAGTTCTAGTTCTGCAAGAGGTTCTGGAGAAGTTGTTAATGCTGTCATCACTTCAGGGGAGCAATCTGGTTCTTAAGATTGCTTCTGCTACGTGGTGGTTTCACCATCATAAGTAATAGCCCTCATTTGGGAGGTGATCTATAAGGCTCACTGTTACTTGGGAGTAGTTTTGGACCCTTTTCATAAAGATGTTTTTCAATCAGTCCTGTCATTCCTGGAATCTAAAGAGGAAAAAAGTTAATAGAGGCAAAAACAGCCAGTGAGGGATAAAGTAGAGTTAGGCCAGTGATTGGTGTCCTCCAGCATTACTTCTGTAACTAAGAATATTCAGAAAAAAGATGAATTTAAACATTATTTCATGAAACATTCCCTTTTGCTCCCCCTTCTGGCCACTTGAGGGACAGAAATGGGACAAAAGTTGTGGAGGGGATGGAAGAGGCAGTTTCCCTGTAGGCACCCCTCTTCAGCCAGTCTGGTTAGGTCACTTGGGCTCTGGATATTTCCTCTTCCTGATGCATCTGAAGGGGAACCTTGGAGCCAACATGTTTTTGTTCTGCCAGTTCAAAACACTCTCAACTCCATTCAGAGGATGCTGACTTCCTGAGGAAGCTTCTCTGCAAGAATGGAGAGCCACCAGCCTGGTGAATGGAGATGTTTTTAAAATCAACAGTAACACTGGGCATTGGTGGTTCATGTCTGTAATCCTAGCTACTCAGGAGGCAGACATCAAGAGGACAGCAGTTTGAAACCAGCTGCGGGCAAATAGATCTCAAGAAAATACCCAACACAAAAATAGGGCTGGTGGAGTGGCTCAAGTGGTAGAGCACCTGCCAAACATGAGTCCCTGAGTTCAAACCCTAGTACCACCAAAAAACCTAATCAACAGTAACAAGAAAGGGAAATGTGGGGATGCAGACAGCATTTAGAGCCACAATAACTAAAATGCCACAATAACTTTGTGTCTACTAATGTGCATGTGTGTGAACCCATTTGTGTCCAAACACGTGTTCATGTATGCATGCACACACCTGTATCTGTGCCTATATGTGTGGGCACATACTTGTGTATGTATGCACAAGTCTGTGCTTTGCATGTGTGAATAAGTACCTATATTGTGCACGTCTGTCTGAGTGCATGTGTACTCATGTTTATGTGTGCTCGTGAGTATACACACATGTACTTTTAAGGAGGGTGCATTGAGTTAAACAGCTAAAATGATAAGCAACAAGCATTTCTGCATGCAAAAAAAAATTATAGAGAAACAGGAATGGGAGGGTGGGAGGACTGGCTTTTCTTTCCAACCTTGGGTGCAAAAGGTGGTTTGAACACCTCCTCTGATATTAGCTGACAGAGAAGCATCCCTGACTGCTCAATTGTCCACCCCCACCATGTACTATTCCTCTGGAGCACTGGCTCAGGTTTTTATTTTTATTGAAGTATAAAATGCGCAATGCCAATAATGTATGCAAATCCTGTGCACATCTTGTTTTATTCGTCTGTATGCCCCAAGTCACCACTCCTAATATAGAGAACATCTGTAGCATCCCCAGGTTTCCTGGTGTCCCTATCCAGGCAACACCTACATGCCCCACCCTTCCAAATGCAGTGACTTCTACTGCACTGAAATCCCATATGTCTGACATCCCATCTCCTTTGCTAGACTATAAGCACTGCAAAAGCAAGGTTGGGTAGGTCTCCTCTGAGGAGACCTTGCCCCAGCACTGTGCAGTGGAATAAGCACATAGCACACACTAACTCAGAGAGGGAGCAGAAGAAGCTACCTGCAGACTGTTCCCAGGTGTTGGTATTCACTGGTTTGCTGTCAATGTGACACATGCCTCTTGCAGTTCCCCTCTGCCCTCACCCTGGATTGAGGCACCATCTGCCACCTCTAATCCGATGAGTGCATGTAGGTAGGGCTCAAGACATAACAGTTGTGGTCAGCACAGTTCCACATCAAGATCAGAAGTGATTGGAGAGTTGCATGGAAAATGTGGAGGTGCCCCAGAACACATGATGCCATGAATCACACATGCATAAGTGCCTGTACATAATCCACTCAGGTCTCATTTCAGCAAGGCCACTTTAGCTGCATGTGATTTGCAGCTCACCAGTAGAGTATAAACAGGCAGGATTTACTTTCTTATTCTTGGTGCTCTGCAAGCAGGCAGCTGGAGATGCTGGTTTAGCAGCTGCACAGTGTCCTTGCAGGGCCAGCTGCTCTGCTGAAGTCAGAGCCTCACCTGGAGGACTGCCCTGACTTTTCACTATCAGGACTCATGTCACATGCCACTCCTGGACCAATCACCGGGTTGTGACCAACTCAGACTGGACATTACCTTTCTGAATCAGAGAGAGGCTGCCTCCTCAAGGTCAAGGGGCCTCTCCCTGCAAAGAAGTGGGGACCTGTTAGTAAGGGAGGCAATGGTTTGCCAAGGAAAGGTATTGGCACACCCACATAGCACTGTTCTCAGGTGATCAGAACTGAGGAGCACCTAGAATGTCTGGGCATGTCAGCACAATATGCTGTGCAAACTCAAGCAGGTGGTCAGGAGGTCCCTCTCTGCAGAGGTCCACATCAGAGGCAGAACATAGCTGGTAGAGGAAACAGGCCAGCCCACCAAGACTGAGGGGCAAGGAGAGCACTGGGGCCTGAGGGCAGGGTGGGTCAAAGAAAGGAATTTGATTTTTTGTTCAAAACACAGCAGACCCCAAACTGAATTTTTAAGAGATTACTTGAGGCCTCATAGGGCTGTCTCAGGAGTAGCTAGTGTACCTTCTTATGAGCTGGCAGGGCCTCCAATCCCTTAACCCTACCTGGAATGTACAGCTTATCACCCAACTCTAGACAGATTTCTGATGAAAATCAAGGTGACCACCTCCTGTCCCTCTAAGAATGCTTCTTCCTGGGGAAAACCTGTCTCCTTGGGGCTTTGCATCTTCTAGGACTTCTGGCCACCATACCCTCTCCACCCCACTGGTTCCTGGAACAGAAGCACTTGTTGCTCCTGTGAATGGATGTGACCACACTAGGGCTGATGTATGCTCAGACACATGCAGATCACCAGGGTGGGGGTAGCTGCTGGAGCTAGGACACTTCCTAGGTTCAAATCCTAGCTCAACCTCTTTTTGGTGGAGTGACCTTGGACTTGTATAGGTCCCTGAACATCCCTGAGCCTCAACAGCCTCATTTGTAACACTGGGGAATGGCACTGGCCTCACAGTTACAAGGACTAGATGAATTATCACACCTGCAAGTCTCAGCTGGTGTTATAATATTATTAGGTACAAACTATCTCCACACCCTTGCCCTTTCATGTTGGTGAACCATCACACACCCAGAGGGCAGGGATATGAGTTTTGGGCTGGCCTTGGAGGACCCCCTGTGACTTGGCCAGTGCCCTCAGGCCTGGCCAAGGTCTGGGCAGTAGCAGCAGGTTGGGTGGGGGGTACAGCTGGGCTGGCAGCAGATCTGCAGGGTGGGGTCCTCACCACGGGCTATCTGGCTGGGACCAAAGGTCATGGCTGCATCATACTCAGCCTTGAGCAGCTGGAGGTGCTTCATCACTTGTAGGACTTCTGGGGTGGCTTCATCCACATTCCCCAGAAGGTTGTAGTTCTCACCAGGATCCTTAGACAGGTCATAGAGCAGTGGGGGCTCATGAGCAGTCAGAGGGCTGGTGGCATGGCAGGCAGCATCCGGGGTGGTGTCGCTGTGGGCAGAGCCTGGGGAGAGGTCAGTTCTGTGCACAAGGTAAGAGCAAGAAGAGGGGCCAGGGCTTGGACTACAGTGGGTCTGGGGAGAAGAGGCCAAGGAGAAGGAGTTACCCTGGGTGAAGAAGTGAGCTTTGTACTTCCCACTCCGCACAGCAAAGACCCCATAGACCTCGTCTGGGTAGGCCGGATAGAAGAAGAGAGATCGCCGAGGGCTCTGGGGGGGTGCAAAGTCAGGGTCATAGGATAGGAGAAATCCCTAAGAGCTATCAGCCCTTGTGGTAGGTCCTGGCTGTGCACCTCCTTTTGGCCCACCCAGGAACATGAGAGGTGGCACCACTCAGAAGCCACTCATCAAAGGAGATGTGAGGCATAGACTCTCAGGCACTGTTCCCATTCACCCAAGGGGAGGACAAGTATGAGGTGGAGGAGCTGGGGTCAAGAGGCCATTGGCCCTACCTTGCCTATGCCCAGAAACAGAGGGCTAAGGTCAACGCCATCCAAGGTGATATTGGGCAGTGGGGCTCCAGTCAGGGATGCCAGGGTGGGAAACAGGTCCAGGGAGCTGGCCAGCTCGTGGGTCACACCTGAGGACAGAGGGTCATTCAGTGCACTATCAAGGTTGGGTCAGGAGTCTGCAAGGAAACGGCCAGAGGACTGACCAGGAGCAATGTGGCCTGGCCAGAAGGCCAAGGCAGGCTCTCGAACACCACCCTCGAAGGTTGTTCCCTTTCCACATCTCAGGAGGCCAGAGCAGCCGCCACTGGACATGCGCATCGTCTCTGGTCTGGGACACACAAAGAGGTCATCAGCAATGAGGGGCCCAGGGCTGGTAACCACCAGCCCCACACTTCGAAGTTATAAATCTTCCCCAGGATGACTACTACATGCCTTCCCTCTTCCTGCCCTGCTAGTACCCTTGTGAACCTCTGGTCCCCAGTCTATGACCGTCAGGCCCCTGTAACATAGCTAGCCTCTCCTAAGATCCAGTTATCCCCCAAGTTCTCAGCTAGCAACTAGGGTGGAAGAACTCCAGGGCCCTGGTCTATGTAAGAGCAATGAGTATCTCCTGCCCTGGCTCGTACCCGTTGTCTGCAGTGAAGATGACCAGTGTCTCCTCAAGCAGCCCCAGGTCTTCCACAGTGGTCATCAGGGCCCCCACAGCTGCATCCAGCTCCATCAAGGAGTCTCCAAATGGCCCGCGGCCTGAGCGCCCTGTGAAGCTGCGCCCACTGAACTGAGGGTAGTGGGTATGCTGGGGGCAAAGACTGGAGTCAGCACTGGGTTGGGGTCTCAGACAGTCAGGAGGGTGGTACCAGGGTCACTCACGTGGGAAGCGAAGTACAGGAAGAATGGGCGACCCTGGATCTGGGCGTCAGCCATGAGATCTCGAGAGAAAGCCACATAGCGGGACTCTAGTCCAGGCAGCCAGGGGGGTTGAGCCTCCACAGTTAGGTTGGCCAACAGTGGGATGGGAACTAGGTCCTGGTCACAGCCACCATCGCAAGGGGTAGCCGGCGGGAAGCACGTCAGGTTCTGGCAGGGGCCCTAGGGAGGGGCAGCTGCAGTGAGGAATCTGGGTTGTAGGGTGGGGATAGGGAAGGGTCAAGGGTTAGGGGGCTTGGATGTGGTGGTGGGGCAGCTGAGGGCCTCGGTGGTTTGTACCTGATCGTGGGAATATGGGATGCCCAGGAATCGATGGAAGCCCTGATGCGGGGGCAGGAAGGCCCCCTCTGGCCCCACCCCAAGGTGCCACTTGCCAGCCATCCCTGTAAGGTAACCGTGGGCAGCAAGGACCTCAGCCAGGGTCACCTCCTCTAGGGGCAGGCCCCCCCGGGAGCTGGGCCTTAGGACTCCAGGGTACATGCCCATCCGAACAGGGAGCCGGCCAGTCAGGAGGGCAGCCCTGTAGGACAAGTCACAGAACACATAAGTCCCACAGAGATGAACAGAGGGAGGAATGGAGAAACAGGAGGAAGAAACACAGACTTCCCCATAGAGAGACAGATCCCTTCCTCTCCCAATGTAACCCACAGTGAATCTGAGAGGAATGGGACAGGAAGGGTTAGGAATAGGGTGAAGGCCTCTCACTCACCGGGAGGGTGTACACAGAGACACAGGAACATAGAAGTCTGTGAACCGCATCCCCCCTGCAGCCAGGTGGTCCAGATTGGGGGTGGTGGAACTAGGGTGCCCATAGGAACTCAGGTCTCCATAGCCGAGGTCATCAGCAAAGATCAGAATAATGTTAGGTGGTCTGGCAGTGGCCAGGCCTGAAGCCAAGGCCAGAGAGAGTGCCCAGAGTGCCCCCATGGCACAAGTACAGATGGGCCCGTCTCCAGAGACCCTTGGAAAGGAAGACAAAGTGACTCCAGCACTCTCCCCACTAGCCTCCAAGCCCTGACCCTGACTCCCCTGAGACCCCCCTGACCTGCCTCTCTGAGAAGCCCTGACCCTGACCCTGAGACCCAGGCCCTCACTGACCTTCCCTCCTCTGAGACCCCAGGCCCTGACCCTGACCCTCCCCTCCTCTGAGACCCCAGGCCCTGACCCTGACCCTCCCCTCCCCTGAGACCCCAGGCCCTCACCCTGACCTTCCCCTCCTCTGAGACC